CATCTTAAGTCTTACAGATAATGTGTGATCTATTTAAAGATTGTCAATGTTTAGCAAGTGTATTAGTTTGAAGATTTGTATCTCTTGCACTCAGAATATTATAGTGGATTATAAATCATATGTGAATTGTATAAACAAACTCTTTTATTTTTTTTATTTATATTGTAATTCTTTTAGTGATTAATTCAAAATCAATTGAATTAAGCATTATGTATAGAGATGTTAATTTGATTTGAATTCAATGAGTTTTGATTTGATCTAATAGAATTGTGTTTCTTTAAAATAATCGGATTTAGATTGAATTTTGTAAAGAGTCGAGTCATGTCAGATTTGAGTTTATGATAAAAATCTCCAACTCGAGATAATACTACATTTTTTTTATATATTTAGAAACAATTGTTATAATACCAACTCAATAATTTTTTCAATTAAGTTCTTATTTTATTGAATAAAACCAAGATTTTTTATATTTGTGTCCGGAGGCATGCAATTTTTTTTATCTCAAATTAAAATTGAGTTTCGGTTTGAATATAACTTTTTTAAACTCGAATTCGAGCGGAGAAAGCATGCCTCTTAAATTAGATCATGTTAATCGAAAATCTGAGTCGGCTCTATCGATTATTGTTCCAATATCGTTTGTGGGGGTTCATATCAAATCTGTAAATTCTTGGTCATCTGATTAAAAACAAACTTGTTTTGTTAGGACAAGAGATTTTCTTGGTCGACTTTGACAAAGTTCTTGCAAACATTGACGACGGCTCACTTTTTCACTTTGGGATTTGGTCAAAGATTTCATTGTTCCCAATCGCTCTCTTCCTTTATTTCCTTTTCCTCCTATCGCATTAACATAGGAAGCCACACACTACCTCATGGAACAAAAACAAATTAAAACAAGTGGGGTGTAGATAAAAATACGTATTATATTTTATAATTAAATGGACGAAGTTTTTCCCTACAAATGGTGAAAGAATGAGGCAGCTTACGCTCCTTGTCTTCGGGTAAAGATTTAAAGTAGGAGAAGGAAAGGGGGGTTTGACTTGAGAGCCGTAAGAAAGAAAACACGGGGTAATGTCAGCTTTTGACCCTAAAGCAGATACCCATATATAAAAGCAAGTCAAAGGACACCTGTCTTTCCTTCCTCATCTGGACCAATCCACACTCCATCGATTTATCATTGTCAAACCTAGGGATGGGTATTACACCCGGACTCGACGGGTTCCGATCCGATCCACTTGATCGGGTCGGGTTTTTTTAAAAAAAATTGAGGTCGATTTTTTTAAGTGTGGTGTTCGGGTTGAGTTCGTGTTTAGGGTGAAAAATATCCGACCCGACTCAAAAAATATAATTTTATCTTATATATTTATGAATAATTACAATAATACCCCTCTATATATAATTTTTTCAATTAAGTCACTGTTTTTATTAAATAAAAATAATTTTTTTTATTATTTCAGGTCGGGTTTCTAAGTTATATGTCGGGTCTGATCTCGGGTGGAGGATCATTTGTTCTCGGGTCGGGTCGGGTGGACCAAAAACCCGAACCATGCCCATCCCTAATCAAACCACAACCCCCACACAATTTTGTGTACGGCATATTAATCAAACCAATATTAACATCAAAAAAAATCATATACATAAAAAGATGATCAACCACTATATTCAGATTAGGGTTAATAGTATGCGACAATAGATTCCATTGGTTAGAGGTATAATTGTTATCTTTAAATGTTTCGGGTTTAAATATATCATATATATATATATATATATATATATATATATATATATATATATATATATATATATATATATATATAGATGTTTGGTCACTTATTGTTAAATAATTAAAAATTAAGTTCAAAGACCCTTATTTACTTTTTGACAAAGATAAGTAACTATTTTCTCTACCACAACTTGCCATCTTGATGAATCCAAAATTCAGCCTTTTTAATAACAAATACTTTTTAGAATCAGTAGTAACGGTAGAATTTTCTAAAATAGATGTCAACTTGGCTTGGCCATCATATCAATATTCTCTAGTGATATAAATAAAGCCTTCAAGAAGAAAACAGAAATTAAGGAAAATATTTCTTTTTATTATTAATTTAGAGGGATTATAAAATAATATATATCTTAAAAATTTTCAATCGTATGATAGAATCTCTAGAGATTTACCATTAAGATAACTCAATTCGTGCTAACAAGATTAATTATTAAATTAGAGATATAAGTCATTATATTGATTTTTATTCAATTTGATCATCGAGTTAATAACAATAATTTAAAATCTGTTTGATAAACCGTTATAATTTTTCATTAAATTTGCATAATTGTTTGATAATTTGGTTTAGAATGTAAAATTCAAATTATACGGGTAATTCGAATAGTACAAACAATTAATTATGATTCTACCCTACCTCTTTTACACAATTTTGATCATGTGAATGATAAAGGTCATGTGTAGTGTGATTGAATTGACTTTTTTAGAAAACTAGATGACTTGTTGATGTTGGTTCGATTAGTTGGTAACTAGTATAGCTTTTTATCTATAAACTAAACAAAAGTCTACCATTTGTAAAGATTCTCAACTTTATTTCCTTTTTAAAAAATTAACTTGTTCATAGCTAAAATATAACCATGTATGCTGTATTTAAGATTTTCTTTTAATAATCTAAAATGATTACAATCTAATATTTATTGAGATTTTTTTAATCATTGATAACACAATGCTATTCTTCAAATTCAGACACTTTATTTTATCACTAAGGTCCAACATTTATCACTAAGTCCGTTCAATAAATTCAAGTTTTGATTAAGGGTCTGTTTGTTTGGTTGTAATTGATTTTCTGGAAATTGAATTCTGGAAAATAAATTACATTTCTGAAAAACGTTTTCTGTAAAATTAATTACATTTTTCTGAAAAACATCTTAAAAACGTTTTACGATGTCTGAAAGATGTTGTTTAAACCTTTCTTCCACTAGTTGATGAGTTTTTTTAAAAATTATTTATTACAAATATTAAATACAATAAATAATATTATTTATCATAAAACTTAATATTATTATTTTAAAAATATTAAAATACTTTATTTATTATTAAATATTATTTTTATAATTTTATTAATAAAAATATTAATATTGGTATATTTTATTGAAATAAAAATATTAAAAATTATATTAATTATTTATTAAAGTAATAAGGTTATATTATATTTTAAAAATAATAATTAATATATTTTAAATATCTTTATTAAAATATTATTAGATTATTATATTAATATTAAATATATAAATAATATTATTCATTATTAATAATTTAATAATATTATTTCTATGAAATTAATAAATAATATAAATTTTATTAATAATTTATTAATAAATAATATAATATATTATATTATTATAATGGAATTGATTATTTTATTATAATATTTAAAATATAATATAATATAATTAGAAATATATTTTAAATATTTTAATAATTAATATTTTGATTAAAATGATATTAAAATATTTTATTAATATTAAATTCATAAAATAAAATTATTTTGAGTATTTATTCTTTGAAGTGAAAAGTTTGGAAAATGACTTACGGAAAATCAGGTCGTAAGTTATTTTCCAGAAAACACAAAAGAAATTCTGTTGACCAGAAAAATGTTTTACGTCGACTAATCAGTTTTCCTCCAACCAATTACTGAAAAACATTTTCTGGAAAACGAATTACGTGAAAAAAACATGGGAAAATATTTTTCAAAAAACGAATTACGTGAAACAAACACGAGATTTCAGAAAAAACTAATTCCGTAATTGGTTTTCATCAAACAAACAGACCTAAGATTTTAAGAGATTGGGAGTGGAAAATGAAACTAATGAAACTAACTTTTTCATTTTGCAGGAATAGTTTGAGGGAAAAAAAGTGGTCATAACTCATCATGGAATATAAGCCATTATCTTATTGGTCAAACTTTTTGGGCCATACAAACCCTTTTCGATTTCCTTGGAATCACTAAAAATAAAGATAATAGAACCTTTGGAAAAAGGTATATTTTTCTCTATGATATCATTAATCTATTACTTTTTAATAATCAACTTGATTAGTCCTACATTTATAGAAACAAAAGTTAATCGGTTTTATTATTTAAAATTTAAACCATATTATGTGATTATATTAAAATTCAGGGGACTCATTAACAATTATAACCCAATCGCCAAGTGACTTCTCGAACACATTCTAGTTAAATATATTCAATAAAAAATATTTATAAGGTCTAAATAAACAATTAAAGTTTTTTATGGTTTCTTTTAGGGGGTGTTTGGTTCAAAGATTGTGGGATTCCCATGGGATGAGAATCCTACTTTCCCATGTTTGGTTGGCCAGGAATCTCATTTCCGATAATATTTTATTACCAATAGTAGATTTTTTGGAGTATATTATCGGGAATGTCATTACCTCCCTTCCCTTATGTATTGTAACATTATCGGCGTTTTGGACTAAAATGCCCTTAAATTTTTATTTTTTTTTCAAAAATATCATTTTTCTGTCATTGAATAATAAAAATTCTACGAAGGTTAAATTACAAATTTATCTTTAAATTATTTTAAATTTACAAAAAAAAGTCTATAATTAAAATTTTATATGAAGTTCAGAGGTTAAAAAAAATTTACCCTTTCATTAAATCTTTTTTTTATATTTTTAATTTTGTAAAAAAAATTATATAAATATTATGAATTTAATTTTTTAAAGAAAATATATAAATATTTTACAATTTGTAATATTATACAAATATATAATAAGGACAATTTGGTCAAATATACATTCCAATAATCTTTTATTCTTTTAACCAAACACGGTAATCTTACATTCCTGCTAAACCAACCAAACACAAAATACAACATTCCCAGTAATCCTATTCCTTGGTAATCTTTTATTCTCACTGGTAATCTTACATTCTGTGAACCAAACGCACCCTTAAAGTAAGATAAAATCAAATTGTTTCATGTAATCATTCTTCATAGCACATACTTAAAACATCCGGAAACTTATCAAGATTGACATTTTTATCACGTAAAATCCGGAAACTAACATCATTCCATACACTCAATCTAAACTTGCACATTTCAGGGTTTAGTCAAATTACTTCATCGTAATCATTCTTAAAATCCGGTAACTCACAGTGATTGTTGATATCACATACTTGAGGGGAGACGAAGAGTCGAAACAACATAGCATATTCATATCCGACACTCCTGTCCAAACCCAAACTAACACAACCAGCATGACAAAGACTTTCAAACATGTATTAATTAAAAACAAAGATGTTTTACCTAGGTTCTTGGCGTTGCTGATGAAAGCATATTTGGCTGAGTAGACGTCAACATAAGTGAATTTGGCAAAAGGAAATTGAGTTCTTAACCAGGAGATCTCGTCTTTAAGCTGACTATTGAACTCCATGGCTGCCTCATTTTGGGACTTCACGCATCCGTTTTTATGGAGATTTCCAGCCTTTTTTCCATATATAACATTATACGGCAAGCAGCCAAGGGGACCCGTATTATGTATCCAAAAGAACCTTGTCCCTTCTTTGTACAGTTGCTGAAAACCAGCCAAGTGATAGTTATTAATAGTTCAACTGTACATTTCTAATACATCCCAGGTGAACTAAAGCTGTAAGAAGATGTTTGAGCTTGTTCGACTTAGCTCGTCTATATTGTCAAAAGATTAATTAGATTCTTACAATTAACTTCAAACTTGATTACTAATACTTGAATTCGAGTTCGAATATAAGTTCTACTACTAACTAAATATAAAAAAGCTTGATTTGCCTCAAGAGCTACTCAAATCAAAATAGATGGTTAAATTTGGCTCACTCCATACTCCGTATTTAGAGCCTATGTTACTCTGACTCTTTCTAACCCTGGACAAGAGCTGCTCGAGCTTGACTAAACAATGATTAAGTCAAATTCAATCTGAAACGAAACTGAATAACTTACATGAATAGATTTGGCTAACTCGCCTATAATATGGGAAATTGAATCCAGCACTTGTTTCTCTGACATGGTTTGGAAACCATGACCCAAATCATTTTGGCCAATATCATATGTGTATAAAGCTTGTGAGAATTCGGCTGGCCTTGGAATATTGCTAATGGATAAAGCGATTCTTCCTGATATCAAAGTTCACCATTGCAAAAAAGAGGTTTAGTTTCTAATCAAGAAATATTACAGACGAAGCAACATTATAAGAAAAACAGATAGATAGAGCAGGATGGACGGAGGGGGCTGGCGGGATGGTATCCCCTCCAAAATTTCAAATTCTCAAACGATTTAAGTACATATTTTTCTATTGATAATCTGTTTTTGCATATAATATTTTATAAGTTCGACCAATAACATAAAATTCTTCTTAATCCATGAGAATGAGTGGCTTACTATTAAGGTTAAGTTGATTATAGAGAGTGGTGGTGCGAGCTTTGAATTGAATGAACTGTGAAATCTGAATCCCGAGATTGAATTGACTAAACCCAGGTGGTCTAACCGATGAACCACCCGTCGCAAAATTGGCACCATGCCTGAAGTTTGTCCCAATTGAGTCCAGATATGCACCAAGGTATGGTAACTTCACTCTCAGCTTCAAACCCAGAGATAACGTAAATCAAAAGGTTAAATCAAACAAAATAATGAAAAAGCCACTTGCCCACGACGAGTCGACCATCGGAGGCCCTACCGGCGGGATGTCCAAAGAAGGTTTCACCGTTCGGCTGAAGGATTTCATTTAAAGCCGCAGAGATCCCACCAGTGTCCGAATTTGAGTCCCCAAAGTTATACATTGCTGGAAACCCACATGAAACTGACCCTTGGGCATTGCTTTCCACTTGTTTCCATTGTTGCAAATACCAAAACCAATATCCCAAGTAAATAAACAACTTTCCCTGCTCCTCCTTATCATCTTCTTCAACACTGGAGCTGTGCAAAAGTGAGGTCTTTGAGAAGTTTTAGTTTTGGGTTTCCGCAGTTGAATTGTAAGCGGTGGCACATATGGTCCTCCTGCTTTTTTTTTCTTTCTAAAAAACTTCGAAAATTGTTCAGCTTACTAACATTTCTTAACCGCGGGGTTAAAATGGAGGTAGGATTTTATATTTGGAGAAAATTAGAGACGATGAAAATAAATTTTGTTTGAAGATATATAAAATATATAATAATTTTAAATTTTTAGAGTAATCATAGTTTAGATTTAAGTTTATCTCATGATATATGGAGACATTAACAACATTATAACAATGATCTAAGGTATTTTTATTCTTTTTCAACGACTATATTTTAAAAAGAATCAAAATGATCATTTAAGAGTTAGTTTATATATATATATATATAATGGCGGATGCAAAACATACTTAAGATATATGTCACTTTGAAGTTTAAATTTTTATATTAATTATTCATTTTATCGCAAGTGTCCACCTGATATCCAAATTTTATATGTATCCATATCATACGAAAATTTATAATAATTAATATGAATATTTATTTTTTAAAATATTTTAAATTCATCACTTTATATATAAAATATATTTGTATATACACGCGTATGAATCTCAGACAAGAGATCGGATAATTAATATTAAACTCAATCTTTCACGTGTATTGATGATAAACCTTAAACCTAATGTATTAATGATATCGATACGTGTATTAAATCTCTGGTGCTTTGAGTTTAGTCTTCATGAAAGTTTAACATATCTGACCAGCAAAGGATAGATCAATCAGTGAACTTGAAATATGCATGCATACTATCTTCGTGATTTTGGCACACATATAAGAATCGAAAACGACAAAAAAATTGGAAACATTGACCTTTTATATTAAATCTGAGAATGACATGTTACTAATATATATATATATGCTAATATTTTAATTTCAACTCAGCGGTTACCAGAAAACCTGGCAGTTTTTCAATCCCAACACGATACATATGCAATATGACCATTCTGAAACAAGGAAGAAAACTTTTCTTTATTTCTACAGGAATGAATAATAGACAGTTAAAATGGGTGAAACAAAAACAGGGGCAGCCTTAGCTTTTTCTTTAAAGCTGTCCAATATGATATAATGGAAGATCTGTTTCCTTTCCAGAGGTTTTTCAATGATATATGATAGACTATGATGGAATAACCAGACCATGGATTAACATGTCGAATGCTGGTGTAGTTGTCGTGAACTCCA